AGATTGTTCTCCCTTCCCCTTTCAGTTACTGCCTATTTGATTGAAGCTAATTTAATTTAAATTGTTTTGATTAACAATGAAACAAATTAAGTACTCTAACCTGATCACCGAGTACGTCTGTTGAACAGTCATTAAGTAGTAAGTGAAGATATAGCCATTAGCCAAACAGACATAATTTTTAAACAATTTGGCTTATAGACTTGTGAATGTGTCTTTACTTGAGACCTACTTTGTCCTCAATTTTCCTAGTGTGACTGTATTTGTATTGCTTCCTGTCACTCGATTTTGTAAAGGTAATTTAATTCACCCTAAAGTACAGTATTGCTTTTTCCGAAACTCTTTGTGAATTTACTAACTAGCATTGCACTCAAGATCTCATCACAGGTCAAAAGAATCACACCATATACATGGATTCAATAATTTACAGTCCACCAACTGATGTTTTAACAGCACAACAGTCCATATAATGTAATTAAATTAAAAAAAAAAAAAGTTATTGAAAAACATTCTTTCTTGTATCCCCTCCTTTCCTCTGGTGTTATGCTCAACCTTAAAATGTCCCTTTGGGTTCTATGGTCAATGTTTCAGTCTTTCTCAAGCAGCGTGGGAGGAAACCTCTTTATGGTCAGTTTGGGCATCTCTAGCCAAGCATGAAGAGATACAAGCAGGTACCTGCTTCTGGGTTGGGGCTGTTGCTGATTGTGCTCCTTAAAGCTGACCTGCCCTGAGGCAGAGACAGCACAGGCAGAAATGTAACTCTCTGGCACTCAGTTACTCACTGAAGAGGTACGAACCCCCCAGCCGTGTCCAGTCTCTCTCTGATGTAAAGAAAATACTTAAAGCAGTGAGTCTCACCATATAGAGAGTACCCTAAACAACTGACAAAAATATGTTGAGGTAAACTGCCTTTTGGATCTTTTCCACTATCATGGCACCAATTGAAAAACGGCTGGTTTTGCCTTATACTCCCTTGTGGTGCTGTCATTAGAAACCTCTCTGAGGAAAGGAAAGTATGTGTTCAAATCTACTTAGGCTGAAGAGAAAGTCTAATCACCTGTGAAAATGCATGGAACAACTAGACAAAAAGGAGAACCTTTTCCCTACTTAGTTTTCTCAGGTAGTTATTTTTGCTTTTTCATATTATATGTTTCTGAGTCATTTTTTTTCCTGAGACCAAATCAAATGTCTGATACCACACTAATATTTTTGGATGGCTGGTCTGGGCAAACAGAAAGGTTTTTCCAGCTCCTTTGTATTCCATTAAAATAAAATCTTTATTAATAATCAAAATAAAATCATTATTAATATTTTTAAATAGTTTTTGTCATCTCAACTTCTCATTTTGGATACTAAAAATTCAGTCATTTCCACAGTGCTATACTTGTTATAATTCTTGAGCATTTATGCCTGTCAGGAACCTCTTGTTCTTCACTGCTTTTGTAAGAGGTTGCAGGAGGAGATTTTCACATGCTGAGATATGTAAATTTCCCCCAGAATTTCAATGTTCATATCCTTTCTAGAGGAGTGCAAGTATATATCCAAAGCAGTAGCCTATTAGTATAGACGAGGAAACAAAAATTAAGGAGCTGAAGAACAAACCTACTGTTCTGATGAGCTATAAATGGGTAAAGAATGGATTTCAGTAACAGTTGTACAAGAAGACATTACATCTCTTCATATATCGATTTCCCGCTGTCACCTCCCCAAAAATAATCTTAGATGTTCCTTGAATATTACTTCCAGAAAAACTTACAGTACTGGGAAAACTGACATTTTAGCTGTATGCAAGATATAAGATATAGATGTTTCAGAATATCTAGAAATGATCCACAATGAACAAAGTTAATTGGATCAACACATAGGCATGTCTTAAATTCAACAGCACCCTGTTACTTCTTGACGTTATTATGACTCTTTTTTTAGCTATTGCAACAAAAAAAAGAACAATGAATTATCTGAGATCAAAGTCTTCTGGTAGGTATGACAGATGATAAGCGAGAAAACACAATATGAGTTACTGAAGCATGAATACATTAAATCTCAAAAGAATACATGATAGAATATGATCCTTTCTAGACATTTCAGTGCAAATTATATGAAATTCATAAGTAAGCAGGAATTGTTTAGCTTCCACTCACTGATTAGTTTTTCCACACACTACTACATGACTTATTGTGATTTCTTTTGCCCAGAGATATCCATATAAATCTCCTATGCTTATAGATATATATTTAAATAAATAAAAGCTAGTGCAATGCAAGAAGTAGATGATGCAGATAAAGTGACAGACGAGAACTTCGTAGCAGGGTTTTGAATGCATATATATATATATATGCAGGGTTAGATTGCATTTTCAGTAGTAGAGGAGGAGATATTGTAGAAATCAAGGTGCTGGGAACCTAAATGGGAGCTTTGTCTTGGTGTACCTAAGAGATCTTTTCAAAAAGGAATGTAAATACTTAAATGCAGCAATCGAATTAAGATTTTGAAAGTGGTTCACTTGGAAAATTAAGTTCAGCATATAAGTCTGAGCAAAAGTGAGAATTGTAATGGGCAAATAGTGATTACAAAAGATAAGAGGGAGAAGACTTTGGGGTGAAAGGCAGAAAGTTCAGGTATGACTGTATGTTCAACTAATTTTTTTTTTGTTTTGTTTTAATAAGAAAATGTCAAGAAAGGCTGAGATTTTAGTTTAGACAGGGTAAATATCTAGAGTAGAGAAGTAGCTCTGAAATTATCACAGAACTAACTGCTACATTCATGTATGAGACCTTTCACTGGAGAAGGAAATGGAAGAACAAAGACTGAGATCAGTGTAAAGATGCATGATAGAAACTGAGGCATAAAGTATGGACTAGGAAATGAGTGATAGATTCTTGTGTTATTGGAACAGATGTCCCTGCAAAATAAAAAGTAATAGAAAATTTATTTTAGAAAGTATTTAAATTCTACATGATTTATAAGATTTGGGAGTAATCTGCTTTGGTTTTCACCCATATATTCATTTCCCTACAAAGTGTTACTATCATTATTACTCTTTTTTGATCTATAGAAGTAGCATGTTTTACACAAGAGTCATTTTTGTCCTTTACAGTTATTTTCAGAGAAAAACAATATAATGTTCTGCTTCCAGTTTTAATAATATAACTTAATTTATTTTAGTGGCACTTGCATGGATTTACATCAGTGTAACTAAAAGGACAATCTCATCCAAAATATGAAAACTGTTCCCTTTTAATCCCAAACAACTGCAGAGGACTGTCATCTCAAGCTTGTAAGTCATATCTCTCTTCATAAGTTCATGCTGGCTCATTTCCATGGCAACATCCAATTCAACAGTGACCAGTTCTGTATTTGTATTTTCTTCTCTTGGCATTTTGAATAAATGTTTGAGACCTGCCATATGTGTGCCAAGAGATAAAGGTCTTACCTCAGAGCTTCGTGGATAAAAAACTGCTACTCTGATATTTACACACAGAAAAGATTGTTTCACCACAGCTGATTTAGTTCTATGTCTCTTCACTGGACTAAATTCTTTTTTACACTTTAAATAATTATAAAGTAACTTCTTAATCCCATTCCTCTTTTTTCCCTAATATTTGCTTAAGTAGCTTTAATGTATTGTGCCATTTTGGAAGCTGCTAAGTTCTTCTTACATATAAATTCTTTACAAATTTTTGTGGTTTATCTAAGAGTGGTGCTACACACCTCAGTAATATATTACTACTGTGAAAACCAGGACTGAGTATTTTACCTATTTGCATCTTGGTTCACAGAACCTGGTGTAGCTCTGTCTCTAGATTGAAACACTTATAAGAAATCAGTGACAAAAATGTCATGAGCTCAACTAACATCAGGATTCTACCCTCAAATGTCATGGTAGTGTACAGAGAACTATATATTCCAGTTTCAGGGGTTCCTTTTTCAATCCCAACATGGCTTTAATGACATAACCAATGGGCAATCTTTCAAATTGTATAAGATTTGATTTATTCCGACATTATTCTTCATTCTCTTCAATCTGTACAAGATCAGTCAATATTATATAGAGTATAAAGCTCTGACACACATATATCTCAGCTAGCTTTAGATGTCTACAACATAGACTGAAGTATATATCTGAAGTAGTCACACTTAACTCTTTTCATATTGTTTCAAAGAAATAGGCATTTTGAACATGGGTTGTCTGACTCATTTAAATGTTTACCCTCGAGGACAGAGGGGTTAATTGTGCTCTATAGGATGCTCTGTCTCGCCATTACCTATAAAGTAGCCTGACAGACTGATTCTCTCTCTCAAAGTGAGACCAAAGAGTCATTTGTTCACATGAATCTCACCCATCAAAAATCCTGGCAAGACAACAATGTTATTACTTGGATTCAGTCAAACAAATTAGGCAAGGGACCCAGCAATTAATAGTCCTGTCTTGGTGTATTAGGTTTGCGTGGCAAGGTTTTGGTAACGCAGATGCTACAGGGGTGGCTTCTGCGAGAAGCTACTAGAAGGTTCCTCTATGTCCGATAAAGCCAATGCCAGCTGGCTCCAAGATGGACCCGCCACTGGCCAAGGCTGTGCCAATCAGTGACGGTGGTAGTGCCTCTGTGATAACATGGTTAAGAAGGGGGAAAAGTTACTGTGCAACAGTAATTGCAGCCAGAGAGAGAAGTGAGAATATGTGAGAGAAACAACTCTGCAGACACCAAGGTCACTGAAGAAGGAGAGGGAGGAGGTACTCCAGGCCCCGGAGCAGAGATTCTCCTGCAGCCCATGGTGAAGACCATGGTGAGGCAGGCTGTCTCCCTGCAGCCCATGGAGGTTAATGGTAGAGCAGATATCCACCTGCAGCCCATGGAGGACTCCACGCCAGAGCAGGTGGATGCCCGAAGGAGGCTGTGACCTTGTGGGAAACCCATGCTGGAGCAGGCCTCTGGCAGGACCTGTGGACCCATGGAGAGGGGAGCCCACCCTGGAGCAGGTTTGCTGTCAGGACTTGCGACCCCATGGGAGACCCACGCTGGAGCAGTCTGCTCATGAAGGACTGGACCCCGTGGAAGGGACCCACGCTGGAGCAGCTCGTGAAGAACTGTAGCCCGTTGGAAGGACTCATGTTGGAGGAGTTCATGGAGGACTGTCTCCTGTGGGAGGGTCCTCTTGCTGGAGCAGGGGAAGAGTGTGAGGAGTCCTCTCCCTGAGGAGGAAGGAGAGGCAGAAATGTGTGATGAACTGACTGCAACCCCCATTCCCGGTGGGGAGAAGGTAGAGAATTCAGGAGCAAAGTTGAGCCTGGGAAGAAGGGAGGGGTGGGGGGACGGTTTTTTAAGATTCAGGTTTTATTTCTCATTATCCTACTCTGATTTGATTTATAATAAATTAAATTCATTTTCCCCAAGTCGAGTCTGTTTTGCCCATGATGATAATCGGTGAATGAACTCTCCCTGTCCTTATCTCGACCCATGAGCCTTTTCATTACATTTTCTCTCCCCTGTCTAGTTGAGAAGAAGGAGTGATAGAGTGACTTTGGTGAGCACCTGGCATCCAGCCAGGGTCAACCCACCACACATGGCTTACATCTTCCTTTAAAAAAAGAAAGCCTTTGAAAGGACTTGCTGTGAACAGGAGTTGTCACGCAACCTTCCTTTTTCCTGCTCGCCCATTTGTTATGGTATGCTTAAAAGGATTTGTTAAAGGGAACAAATTAATTGGGTTCATTTGTGAGTTATGGGCAATAATCAGAGGAAGTGAACAGGAAGCTGCTGAAAAAAGTGAAAAGAACCGTGGTTAGAGGTTCTTGTCTGGCTCTGTTGCAAAGGATAAGCGCCTTGTGAGATTACTGGCGCAGCAGCTGTAGTTTGGTGAGATGACATCCAGGCTCTCAGTCCTGCAAGTCACTGACTCATCATAATAGCTTGTTAAGTCAAGAATCAGACTGTAGGAGGTTACTGGTAGAGCATTTATAACTCATTTGGAAAAGGCCCAGCCACATACCTTTTAATTATATTACTGGATAAAATATCTCTTATTTCCTTGGTGTCAAAGTATAGTGAGACTTGCTGGCTCAGACTTCTAGTTTGCTGGGCTGATGTAAAACAACAGCTACCTACTACTGACTGCTTGTTTGGTTTGTTTGTTGGGTTTTTTTCTCCCTCCAAATCAGAAAGAGAGATGAAACTATATTATCACCAGAGTAAAGACATATTAATAATAACATAAGAGCAGTGGATCTAACAGGATTGATGTGATCTTACAGCTATGCTATTGCAACAGTCCAAGAAATATTTGTCAGTTCCAAATTGAGACAGCCGGTGAGAAAAGATAACTGGTGTTGGTGAAAAAAAAGGAGCAGAAAGATATTTTTGAGTGAAAATTAGGTATCCAAGTATATTACTTTCTCCTTATCTTGAGGAATGAAAGTAAGTAGATTAACTCCTATCATCTGCACCACTGTGTCTTCCCAGTATGCAGTTTGCTTTATTGACATTGAGAGTGTACTTTCAGCTCATATTCAGCCTGCTATCTAGGGTAACACCCCTAGGTCCTTTTCAGCAAGGCTGCTGCTCAGCCAGTTAGTTTTCCCTCTCTTCCTGTACTATACACAGAGCCCTTGTTTTCTTGATGCTTGTGATATCATAACAGCTTCCAAAATACATTTCTTCTCCATAATCCCAGTCATCTGTCTTTGTCCTTAGCTATGCCTTGGTACTCTTTCCTCCCTAATTTCATATTTCATTTTCCTAAAACAAAAATTATGGACAGAATGACCTCAGTTATAGTAATTATTCTGATCAGTTCTCTGTCTACACTTTGCCACTGGTATCATACTGGATTCTTCTCCTATTCATATTAAAAGCTATTAATTTTACCTCAGTGAACCAAATGACTTAAATCCCAAAGTTAATGTCAATTCAGTCTGAATTTTCCATTTGTTGCTTCATCAAAGTACAAGAAAATTGGCCGTAGATAAAATGTTTTGTTCTCATCCTCCTCTCATCTTGCACTGCTTCTTGCACTGAATATCTCCATTCAACTAAGAGAAAAGATTTTTCGTGATGTCCCCACATCCTTTTTTAAACTTTTTCCTTGGGTTAAAAACCAGATTCCCCTAGACTTAAAGAACAAGTTTCCAACTCTTCTATTTTTTCATTTATAAGACTTCAAAAATGTTTCAGTCTTCAGTAATGTGAAGAATGGCAGAAGTACTCTTCAGTTGTTTTCTCTAAAGTTAATATAAAAGAGGTCATGCCTAATTGACAGAAACTCTCTCATGCTGGTAGTTTACTTTTTTTTTTAATTAAATAGAAGCTGCACCTATAAAAAACATCTGAACAATCATAAATTAAGTAACTTTACACTAGCCATAAACTGTACGGATGCGAGGCTCTGGGGGCCAGCACTGTTTTCTCTATTTTCCAGTATAGTCATAGGCACTGAAACCAGCCTCTCTCAATTACAGACAAATGCAAAAAGGTCATATAACCAAAAGTCTACAGAATAGCTGTTGCACATGATCCTACTTAACACTAGTTGCAGAACGCTTCCAACAGCCTGTAACAACCTAAGATCTGAAGTGTAAAAGTAAAACCACAAACGAGTATTCTCCACAGAATAGATGAGACCAAAATGAGGTCTGAAGTTCGCCAAAGCAGAGAGTTTGTGATCTGACATGATGATGCTTAGGAAAGAGCTATGCCTCACAGAAGAGAAGACAACAAAAATGTCCAGAAGCCTTCATAAATATGAAAACTCTATCTTGATTTCAAATTTGATTTTACAGCTGTGCTGGCCCTCAGGACAAATTGACTAGGCATCTGAAGGACTTTTGTGCTTCTAGAAGCATGAGGGCACTTTACTGCCTTCATGTCTGTCTTATTTCTAGCTACAAACAGGCTGCAGTATTTCAGAGAATGATGAAAAAAAAAAAATAAACAGCCCAGTTCACATCCTGGGGAGGGGGAATACCTTTCAGTGCTTGACTCAAGTTTATTCTATCTGAAAGCAAAATTGTAACCACAACTATCTTACTATATTCATACTGAGTTTCAGAGACAAAATGTCATAAATGTAGTCCCCTTCCACAGAATGTGTTTTCTTTATGGTAAAAAATTAATAAACAGTATATAGGTATCTTTATTTTTTCTTAAAAGTATGTGGACAGCATAAAACCCATACTTAATACCTGCAGTGTGTCTCTGTGAGGCATAAGAACATTCTTTGGAGTTCTAAAGGTTTTAATTGCTTTTCACACTACCAGGTGTGTGTCAGAACATTACACTGAAAAGGATTATTAAACACTGCAGAAAAACAGAGTTTATTTTATTTCTTATGTGGGGAGCGGAGACATTCTTTAGAAGAGGGTAAAAAAAAGCAAATCTGATACAAGTAATTCTTGACTCTAAGAAAAAATATCCATCAATATAAATAGCACAATAATGAACAGCATGAAAAATATCTTTTGAATCTTACACTTTCCATATATGATTCCATATGGGATCGGAGGTTGGGTTTCCAAATTCCATTCCTCACATGTCCCACAGTTCTTATCCACCCCAACCATTAAGTGATTATTTTCAGTTTATCCCACAGTCTGCTTGGTTTCCTGTAGGCTGTGAACAGGATTTTTTTTTCCAAAAACACTGTTAATAAGACCTCATTTTTAGTTGTATTTATTACAAATGCTTTACTTGTGATTGTATTGATTTTTGCATAATGAAAACATTCTGAAGCAAATAAAATCACAAGAATGGTTGTCGTGGTTTAACTCCAGATGGCAACTAAGAACCACACAGCCGCTCGCTCACTCCCATACCATTTACGTCATGGTCAGGTCCAACACTATCCAATACATTCTCATGACCCACCACCACCCTTCCCATCCTTTGATATAATACGCAGATATCATTCCCCTAGTCTATGGACCACCCCTGTGAAACGTCTGTAAAATGCCCATAAATGTCCACAAAATGTCCATTGAGTTCATTTAGTCCATGACTTTGGGCTCCATCTGTTATGGTGGTCACTCAGGACAGGAGAGGTGGTGTGTTGCGTGGAGTTATTGGGCACCAAAGCCAGCTCAGGTCGGATCACTGCTGCACTTGCACTGCTTCTTGTAACGCTTGTCCTCCATTGGTTCAGGTGTTTCCTGCTATAGTTATTCCTATAACATGCAAATCAAATCCCGGGTTACAGCAATTTAAAGGTATTTCCATTACAATCTCCACCCCTGATCCCTTTGGACCAGACCATGGGGTTTCACATTGCAATGAACTCCTCCCCTTGCCCCTGCTCTGGCTTGGACTTATCCACAG